TTTTATGCAAAATACAAACACAAATGCAGTTCGTTAATGCATTGTTTAGACTGTCGGATAAAAAATTTCATACCAGCTGTCAGGCTTATTTCAGCAAAGACAAACACAAACATGATATGTCTGTGGAAGGCTCATATAGGGCCATATTATTCGCAAACCAATGAATCTGTCTCTAGTTTAGTGGTTTTATGCTGAAAAAACATAAAGTCCTAAGCTCCTTAAACTGTAGCAAAGTCAGAAGAAAGCTTTCTTCACTGTTGCACTTACCTTTCTGTTATAAATCCTCATACATAAACTATGTAGAAGACCCAAAGTATTGACTTTGGATGAAATAGTGGACTAAAGCATGAAAATCAGTTTTACAGACAGACTTTGTCAGTGAACTCTATCTATGACCCATTATTTGGTTCATCACTCCCAACAGAAGGCTCTCCTGGGAGCAAGTAAAAACAAGATTTAGCCAGCCAGTCTCATGGGCTGGGACAGCTTTAACAACAGCAAAAATATGGATATGATTGTCTACACAAGTTCAAAAACAAGAACTAACTTTGGTGTTTATGTCAAAAGTCTTTACAGCTGACAGTCAGACTTTAACTTAAACTCAACGATCTGTCCCATAAAAGGTAACTCAGACAGTCGCTCTTAGAAATACCTGAATGTTTGGAATGCATGAGACTGACAATCTTATCTGAAAGCAGGTGTAGACAAAACCCTCTTTGGTTTGTTTTGTGTGAATATCGCTCTGTGTCTAATCATAATCCACCTTGACGTAGGGATATCTGCAGCGAGATGAAACAGGGTAAGGGACGCTTTAGTATTCTGCAGGAGTACCATGCACTCAGAGCAGCATATGTTTTGATTTAAGAGATGATAGGTGCACCACCTTGCAATAAAAATGTTGTGATGTGACAGAATCAGACCACAGACCGCACTTTAATTGAATAAAAATCAATTGGGCAATTCACCATCTAGGTTACACTGTTTTTGTTTGAGATTACTAATAAAAGTAAACTATGGTAGTTACAATCAAGCAGGGAAAAGTCTTTTGCAAATGCTTCCAATGCAATGTTAATTCTGACACAACCTACAACAGACAAAATATCAAGGACTGCAAGCAGAAAAAAACGGACATATCCAAAAAGCCCTATAATTGCTTCAAATCCTCTACATTACACTGTGTGGAGTAAACATGACAGACTACAACAAAGACTAATTCTTCTGCTCTTGTTGTGATATCAGGAACATAAACATCCAGAGCAAGCACGACCACTGAAACCAGAGAGTGTATTTCTCTATTTACCTGCTGACGCTGCACATTGACATACAATGTGTGTGGATGTGCCATATTTGGTCTTGGCAATGTTTGAGCCGACATCAGCAGCAAAATTTGCAATAGCATGTCTATACATGCTGCTTCTCACATTGCTGTGACTGAGGGGGATGGGAAATTGGGACAGCTTAAAAAATAAAGACACAGCGTTTTCGAAGGCCGTGGGCCTGTGATTCATCTTCAAACTATGGCGAATTTTGAGGAGTCGAGCCATGAGACATGATGTGTAACACCTAAAGACAGGGAGTGGTTTTTTAAAAAACTAGCTCAGAGTTTTGGAACATTAATATGTAGACAGTTTGAAAGAGTGCATTTAACAGTTCTGCTCAAAACAAGAACAAGGGAGCAGTTGTAAACATTTAAATTGTCAGTTGTCTTATTTTCTCACCATCTAAAAGGTTGCAAATCCGGTACGGTAAACCTTGAGGGAAATTCAAAATTTATTTTATTGAGTCTTGTCTCCAACAACACTGATGGTGATGTTAATCTGAAATCTCTTAATTTTGATAAATTTGTCACCATTGAAGTCACTCACACAGTAAGTAAATTTGTAAAAACTTTTCACATCCAGTTTATCTTTGGTAAACTTTGAAACACAAATTTCTGCCTTCGACCAACAATGAGCCTTGCTGACAGTGAGGCTGAGTCAACGCAGAACCCTGAAGCACAAAATGCAGAAAGCTATTATAGCTTATTAGACATGAAGCATTATGAACTATTAAATAACCCCCTCTGTCTCAGAATAGTCCATTCCACTTACAAGACAAGAGATAGCATTGCAAATATATCTTGTAAATAAACTGTGTCAACTCACAGTCCAATAATGAGTTTGGTAAAAAAAAAAAACATTTAACTTTTAATAAGTCTTTGTTGACTGAAATGGTGTTCTAATCTTAAGGAAAACTAGAATCATTGCCGCCCCTTAGTTCTATGCCTAAGCCAACCAGTCAAGCTGCGGATTACTTCCATGTCTTTCAAGGCGTATGTAATAATGTAATATATGTTGTGAAGACTTTCAATGAATTTAATAATTAGTGCATAAAGTTATAGCAAAAAAGTTATGAATCATGGTGACATCAAGGTGAAATATTGCGTTCCTGAGATAATGTGATCACAGGAATGGGATATAGGAAGTTGAATGGACAACCCAAAAACAGATGTGAATGCATAAAAAGTGCCGGAGGGGAGTAGAAAATAGAAAGAAGCTCTTAATTATATTGTGACTGACTAGTCCTGACCTGTCCTGCACAGATCCATTTTAGCCAACCTCCATCCACCTGCAGTCATAAAGCTGTGTACTGGAGTCAACCTGTAATCAGCTATTATCTCCAAGTAAAATCCAAGCCTGCCCAACCCTGTTATCTTATGACCCATGACCCGTCCTGTTAAAAGGGATTTAAAATACATCCTATATATACAGTAACTCACATCGAATGGTTTATGACCTCCTTGTGCCCTTGTTTTAGCGATTGAGTTGAGTTTTTGTAAAAATACCCATCAATTGTCACAGCACCTGCATAGACATGCCTAGCTTGCTGCCATCCAAAGCTACTACATTTTGGCACTTTTTACAAGCAGCAAAGCCACTGAGAACATATTCACCAATGGCCTTTTTTTTTTTTTATGGAAATATGGATTTAGAGATTGGATGATTTTCTGCTGTTCTATTTTGGGTCAAAGTGAAGTCATTATTGCATTTGTTGAAGAAATAATTGTAGTGGTAGAAAATAGAACAGTATAGTTTGTTTCACGAGAGATGACTCACTTCTGCCGGGGTGTTGTCTGGTCCCTCTGGAGCATGTCCTCTCAGGTTGACGATGTGGACCTCCTGAGGGAGGCTGGTGGTGCCCCTACTTGCACAGCCTGACAGGGCAGTGAAGCTCTTCAACATGGCCTGCACTGGGTGTGCCATCCCCACCGGCAGCAGCTCACATGGGCTGCGGATCAAAGGACCTGAGCAGATGAAAAACAACAATCATGTAAATTACTTAGTTAGTGAGTTAATAAATAAGTGAGTTGACTTATTTATTGAAAGCTTGTATGAGCATTTAGTGTACAAGGTGATGTCCAATGGCCACAACGATGTACTCCAGAAAATAACTCAGGGTTAAAACAGATAAGGGCACATAGTTAAGTATTAACGTTTAACATTTAACCATTGATTTCAGACACAGCCGGAGTGTACACCGATGTTTTCTACACATGATGGAGGCAATTGACCAATCACAACAGAGTGGGCCAGGTGACCAATCAGAGCAGAATGGGCATTGTCGGGAGGGGGGGCTTAAAGAGATGGGAGCTACAACCAAGTGTCTCAGAAACAGAAAAGAGGAGCTGCAGAAATGGACAGTATGAAGAAAGTGATGTGTTTTCTAAACACTAAAGCATGTAAACGTTTTCAAGTAATGACCCAAAGTATGAACCTGAATATGAGTATGAAGTGTCTCCTTTAAGTACCAACAAATTGTACATGGTACACAGAATAGTTTAGCTCTTTCTCTCAGTCTCGTATACGTGGGGTTTCCTAGTGCAGCTCATCTGCAGGCTGAGTCAATAAAAGCAGTTACAACACCTACAGTCTTGTAAAGCCTGTAACTAACCCTTAGCTTTGACCTTCACTCGTTGCCTTGGAGATGTGACAAGCTCCTGGACAATTTGAGGTGAAAAACCTGTCAGCTTGTTGTACGGAAATGATCCAGCTCACTCCACATTTCATACCGTATAGGGCACTGAACAATCAAAACAGTTGGAGCAGTCATATTAGATTGGTACACTGGGGTGTTTGACTACATATGTGAAAAAAAGTTGCATAGAGCCTTTTGTGGTTTGAGAAGGAATTACAGGAAGTCTGATGTATTCAAGTGATTGCATATCGAGTTTTTATCGTATATCATTGTCTCAATCTTCATCAACATAAAAAATCAACTAACAATGCAAAAATAAATGAATAACTGCACAGAAAATAAAAATTCAGCCACATGAAGTTATAAACAAGTTTTAAGTGCTCACATTGTTCTTATTTTATGTTTCTATCAGTTTCAGTGGCTGAGAAATGAAGGTTGAAGTAAAAGATTTTCCATGTGGGTTTCATTTGGTGCTTTTTTAAACAACCTGATGATGTTATAGAACCGCAAAGCTATGTCACTGCAGTGCTCGTTTAAGGGGAAACAAGATAAAGAACAATGTCGAGAATATAAATACCACACAACATTATGTTACTGTGTCTGCATCATTCACCGTTAATTATCAGATATCTATATCGGCCAGGAAAATGTCCTATTGGTGGATTGCTTGCAAACAGTCTGTTGTAAGTTCTGTATGTTCTCACTTCAGTCAGTCACATATAATGAATAGTTTGGTGATCTGTAAATGTCAGGACTATTTGACTCAAACAAAGATTCTCTAATGTTAACAGGATTGATGATCAGGGTGGCACAAAAAAATTCTGCAGTGAGTTTTGAGTGAGGTACCCAACAGCTCTTTTCCATTAGAAAGTCATGTATAGTATGACAGCATCTGTGGCTGACTTTTTTAACTCCGGGTCAGACCTTGTGTTTTACCCAATACCCTCATACCAGCCTAGGCCCACTCACATTTCAAACACATCACAGTCAAGAGGCAAAGGTTGCCAATAGCAATCAGATTGAACATTTGGAAATAATTAAAGTCTAACTGAAATGTTTTTCTCCCCAACGGACTCCAGTGCCTCAACAGTGGGGTACAACCAGGGGGGAAACTTTTTTTTATTTATTTTTTATTTTTTTACTCTCAGAACAAATAGCTATTGTTTTCACTTTCCGTGCTGTCCAATAAGCATATGTTAGATCAGCATAAAGCCAGAGATCATGGCATAGCTCCCCTCTCCTTCTAGCGAGAAAAACACAGATGCTTCATTGTTGGCCTGTTTGTCTCTGGAGCTCTTCACAGATGTCTCAACCAGGACTCTGCGCTGTCTCTCTTTTCTCTTGAATTCCCCGCGAGCCTGCAGAGATTAACTCTGAACTTCTTATTGGGAGCAAACGTATATTAAAACATGGCAAGGCCTTGCTATAGGGTTTAATAGTAAAAACCTGTGGTGCATCAGTATATCAGCCCCCGCCTCTAAGCGCCAGCCCCCCTCTCTCCTACTCCCCCTTCCTCCCACAGGGCTGAAGCCTATTCCCTCTCGAACCATGTCATCACGCCTCACTCCCACAAACAGGTCTGGGGGCACGACAGCTCACTTTTTCCCCTCACACATGGAGAATAACAAACATCTGCCAGACAAACAAAGAAAAACACAGCTCTCTCTGGGAGACTGCCAAAAGATTACAGTACTTGTTGGGCAATGATCTGATTTTCTAATAGCTAAAAAATCCAACAGAAAAGGAAAAAGAGAAAAAGGTACCTCACTGATATAAAAGGACATTCAAGGTTTCATTTTGCCAAGCCCGTGAAAGTTAACACTAGTCTGCAATTAGTCTGTTTGCCACAAATCTCACCAAATTCTACCCAGATTTGTATGGAATTTTTAATTTATGTCCCACAAAGGATGGCTCACAACTATCTTAGTGACCTTGTTACCTTTCGTCTTGTTGATGGCAAGATCAAAACCTGAACAATGTTAATAGGTCAGTTAAATTTATAGGTCTATCATATATATATGTGCTACTTTGTTTTTTCTTTTTGATGCAGAAAAAGATGCTTGAAGTAATCTAAAAATAGGAAGCAGAAAAAAGCACAAATGTTCATTTTGAAAAAGACTCATTCATTATTATTTGAAAATGATTAATTCATATTTACTTTATATGATCACAAATCACCCAATTCAAATGACTAAATTATGAGCTGTACAGAAACAATTTTACTACATCTACAGTGCGGCAATAGAAAAAACAGACAATGGCTTCCACTACTCGTTCAGTTATTCTATCAAGTTGAAACCAGCTGAGTTCTAATCCATCACATATGCCATTGCCATTATCTTACAACCTCCATGGAGAAAAAAAAAAAGGTTATGGAGGAAATAAAGCTCACATCTGTTGGCCCTGCCACAGCTTTGTGTCTTCTGTCACCTTGTCTGTCTGTCTGTCTGTCTGTTTCTCTCCCTGCTTCTGTCTCCCCTCCACTCGAGCCACCTTTTCTTTTTCCTTGGTCATCGATGGAGCACAGACTATGTCCTGTCCAGCTGCCACTAGTGCCTTATAGCTGGCCAGGCCAAACACCCACAGCAGAGGAATGAGAGAAACTGTTGTTCACACTGCCAGAAAAACAAGTCCAGCTTGAGCCTACCAGACACTCTGCAGACTGCATCACAAATACCTCCTTAACTCGAAATATACAGCGCAATCTGACGGTAAATCTGGTTCTCCAGCTGTAACAGTAATCTCTAAGATTTATTAAACGTCTTCAGAGACACAACTGTGTAAAAAGATGGCAGCAGTTGAGAGTGTAACCCAAACTACATCCTATAATAAAGTATGCCCCAAAAAACAAGTTGGATCCTTCTAGGCTCTTTGTATTTTACAACCGTAATTTTGTACCACAGTGCAAAATTATACAACTATATCGTTGAAAGCTAAGGAATTCAATCTCAAAACTCCAAACCACAGCAAATTAAATGACTCTTATTTTTGAAAATACAGGAATAGTGGTTGGATGATTCATTTCCCAAAGATCTGACCCATGATACCTGAGATAATGTACATTAAATGATCCCATCAATCTCAATCAAGCCAACCATGGCAAACTGACCCTAGAGCTGAAGAACAATAACTTAAATCCTGAATTAATTAAGTCTCCTTTTCATTGGACTGTCTGTGTCAGGTTAAATCAACAGCAGATGAGGCATCAGGACCAAAAGCTAACAGGAAAACCAGGTCCTGATCCAGCCCAACAGACTCAGCATCAACATCTCATCATCACCCAAATCATTCCCTCTGGTCAAGCTGTGACATGCTGTGTCTATTTTTGTATTGTACTTGAACACTTGAAATCTAGTCAGTTCAGAGTCTCAGAAAAAGCCTCATGGAGATCCAATCTGCTCTTCTCTCTCGTTTAGATGGTTCCTTTTAGATTTGCATGCTGGGATTTCTGACATTGTTTTAAGTAGGGGAAGATCTTAAACTTGTGAACAAAGCGATCTGAACCAGACTGGGTGCCACCCACTGACCCGCCAACAGTCTGTTGTGTTTTAATGTGACTCACACAATTCGACAGCTGACAAACAAAGAATGAGAAACAGATCAGGCATACATTAAAAGATGCTTGTTATCAGACACTGTCCAAAATAGTCTGGAGACAGCTCTACTATGTCCAATGTCAAACTAAAAGGTGCCTTCAACATTAAATCTGCTCTTGTAAAGACAAAGAGAAGACCGTCTTTGTTGCCTTTTGCAGCACAGGCTGGATTTCACTAGCTGTTAAAAATGTAGTCTTTAAAATAACCGCCATCAGGACTGGCAACAACGACAAAAGTTGCAGGTGCATGAAACCACATGTGACAGAATAAGAAGGTTTTGTGGTTTTACTTGTGAAAGTGAGAAAACAGAGGGAACCTACAAGGTGGAAAAAGACTCATTCAGATCATAATCTTTCATCGCAGTTTTTACTCTCACTCAATGTAGGTGGAATCAGGAAGTTGAAATGACTCAAGATGGACTTTTGCCTGAGCTACTTTTAGTTGATAGTCTTTAACTAACTGGTTACCATAATGAAACTACAGCTGTATTTGGTAATATCTGAAAGTATATTCAGTATTTGATAAAAAAACATGAAAAAGATTAACAGTGACCACCCACTTTTAGAACGGCTCACCATAGCACATTAGATTTGTAGCAAAAAAAATGAAAACAGAAAAAATCTAAGGTACAAGACTGTGTGTATACATAATTATTTTAGTGTTATTATTTGATTATTTATTATTATTTTACAGTGAAGGAACTACGCATCCCATAAAACAATGTAAACGATCC